ATAAACCAGAAAGAAACTCCTGTAAAGTTTTCTGCCAGTAAATTTATTTATTTTTTTCGTTCGAGGAGCGGCCCCTTGACAGTAAGGCGGTTCAGTTTGCCACCCAGAGTTTTCCAGCGGCTTTCTTAGCACCCGGGTCAGTTAATTGGAGCCAGGTTTACTGCTTAATTCAACGGTCAAACTGGAGAGGTGCATCAGCCAGCGCCCCGGGCTCTCCCAACCCCCCGTAAGCACTACGGCACATACGCTTGTTTTAATGAGCGCCATGCCCTAAGGATACGGAGGGCTACTATAATCAATAGCTAAAGAAAATAAGTGGTGTCCTTCAGCCGCATCGGAAGTATTATACAGTTTGACGCCCCAAGTCTCTCGATTATGATGATGTTATAAAACAAGTTGTAGATATGCCCTTTGGGTCAATAACTTAGCCATCCTAAGTATTAAATATACAGAAGCAGCTCAAATGCCAAGCATGCTGTAGCACACAAATTGTACTTGTGTCCAGAGTAGGGACTCTAGGATGTCGCTGAGCCCACCCTGCACTGATGGGTACCTGACTCAAAGGTACCTGACTCAAAGGTACCTAACTCCAACCCATGCAACGATGATGGTACCTGACTCTTGTCCACCCAGCTCTGATGGGTACCTGACTCTAGTCCACCCAGCTTTGTTGGTACCTGACTCTAGTCCACCCAGCTCTGATGGGTACCTGACTCTTGTCCACCCAGCTCTGATGGGTACCTGACTCTAGTCCACCCAGCTATGATGGTACCTGACTCTAGTCCACCCAGCTCTAATGGGTACCTTACTCTTGATAGTGTTGTCTTTGTTTCTAAATCGAAACCAAAACCAAATCACCACCTCAACTTTAAATTTTACCGGAAACGAACAATGTCATTGAAAACGGATATTTATCCAGAATCGGCATTTCAATTGGTTTGATACTAGATCTATTTGATACAATGTGGTGACACTTTAGTAGGTATTTCGATAGAGTGGTCTGTGATATTTTGGCGGGTATATTAAAGCAGTGTGGTGACATATTGGTGGGTTAAGTGATACAGTAGGTTGTGACACATGAGTTGGTATATTGATATTTTCTAATGACACAATAGTGGGTATATTGATACACTGTGGTGACACATGGGTATATTGATACACTGTGGTGACACATGTGTATATTGATACACTTTTCTTGTCACATTGTACCATTATATGACACCGCAACCGTTTTATACTGGTACTTACAGAGCACTAATTCATACTGTCCATGGTCCAGATAAAGTAGAGTTCACCTGAAGGGATGTGTGGTCAGTACGATGCATATCAGCAGTTACCTTCCCCAACGTCAGCCAAGTACCCATCAGAGCTGAGTAGACTCTGGGACATCCTACCTACTTGAGCCCAGGATACGAACTCGAGACTTACTTATTGTCAGTCAATCGCTGTGCCATTCGTTCCATGTGACTATCGATACGAGCATCGTATATATGCACTTTAATGCTTTAACAGCTTTATATTATGCATATTTAGAAAATTGTCAATGATTATATTAAAAATTAATAATCTATAGTATGCAACCAACGTTTTCCGTGTATTAGTCCAACGATTTTAGAATCATAATACATTTCAATATATGTTTAAATTGAGAGCTGATGGAAGAGATTATCCTAAAATTATTTATCCCAGGGTAAGTTGTCAGTTATTCAATTTTATCCCATGTTAAGTTGTCAGTCACTTGGTTTATTTCACATGTTAAGGTAAATGTTCTTTAATCCAATGGTTAGTTTAGTAGTTTTTTAGTCAGTTCTTTAAAAACGAACAGTGTATCGGTCATTAAAATTAATCGAAACAAAACTAGAAACAGTGACAAAAATATTTTAATTTTTTTTATTATACTCTTTTCTGTTTACCGAATCATAATGGCTATTTTTAAATTTTAGCTCTCCATTTCAGGATAAGAAGATCAACAAGTTTTATGAAGACATCATTGGCAAGATTTTCTAAACAAGCCTGGGTAGCTGCGTTTTATCACACATCTTCTTCTGGATAAGTGGCTCACGTTTTAATTAATTATCTCATAACTAATCTCACATTTTTAATTGGATGTACTCTGTTGATAAGTGATATCCAAACTCTATGTAAATAGCCACTTGCACATAATGTTAACATAGCACAGGTAATCAGTAAATTATTGTAGATTTAAACTATTTGCAATCATGATTTTACAACTACTTTTGTGAACAAATGTAACACTTATTTTATATGTTTGATATTACTAGACCAGTGGCGTCGCGAGATCGGGTGTCACCCAGTGCGGCACTTAATGGTGTCACCCCCCCCCCCCCCAGAGGCGTAGCGATCCTTCCCGGGGACAAACTTTCAAGTTTTCGATTTGCACCCCCGTCAAACTTTCGATTTGCACCCCTACCCCCTCAAGTTTTCGATTTGCACCCCCCCCCCCCTCAAACTTTCCATTTGCGCCCCCCCCCCCTCAAGTTTTTCTCTATATATTTTGCTATTTTTTGCCTTGGTGTCACCCCCCTAAATGGTGTCACCCGGTGCATTCCGTACCCCCGCCCCCCCCCTCGCTACGCCCCTGTACTAGACTACACGTTACTCTTGAATAACAGTGTGTTTCGAGGGTCATCAATAAATGACGTCATGTTTATTTGACGATTTTTATCTTTCCCTTCCCACTGTCACTTATCTTAACAAAAAGTCAGACCCCACATTCAAAAAGTGGCCACACCTCAGGTAACATGTTATTGTTTTTTAAAAATACCTGTTTCGGCTAAGTATGGGTCTAAACACCCTACTTTTTACATGCTGATAATACAGAAAGTGGTAAACTCTACTTTACCTGCCCAAGTTGGGATAGGAATCTTTATCATTTATATATTTAAAAAAATACTGAAAAAAAAATGTAACATTGACATGCTGTCTCTCAAACCCATACCACCCGCATGGTAACTATTACACTATCAACTCAGCTATCTGGGTACTTTCGATTACGTGTAAAATTAGTTGGGTAGTTTACTTAGAGAGTCCGCGTAAGAAACTTGAGTTACGGACTAAAATAGTTCAATAAAGAGGTTCAATATGGATTGTATTTTTGTTGTGTATTGCTTATTGTTGTATGTTTTTCTTTTTAGCTGATTATTTTTGTTTTGGCCTTAAAATTCGTTTTTCGGTATAAGTTGCGATTATTCCTGTACGTTTTAAGGGACTACTATTAAGTCCCTGTATTTTTCTGTAAAACTATTTTTGGTTTGGCCTTAACATCAAATGACGTCACAAAGCCGGTGAAAGTTAAAGTTTTTGAGAAAAAATCTGCTTGTTTTAAATTCTATAATTCAAGTGGTATTTCTACCAATGAATATATCGATACATTAATTAACGTCTTTAAATGAATTTGTGATTAACAGTTTGGTAAAAAAGAACATCATTTTCTACCTAAATACGTATTTTACTGCTCTCTTCATAGTGCAGATTCTCTCATGTAACCAAATAGACAAACAAAAAAATAAATATACAAACTAGTAAACAAACTTGAGTTGTAGTAGTATACTAGACTACCCGTTTTGTAGTTAGATAACTGTGGGTTTCGGGGGGGGGGGGGGAGGTCATCCATAAATGACATCACGTCTGTCACTCAGAGGCGTAGCGACCCTTTTCTGCGCCCGGGGACAAAATTTTCGATTTGAACCCCGGCAAGATTTCGATATGCACCCCCCTCAAACTTTCGATGTGCACCCCCCCACCCCCTCAAGGTTTCGATTTGCACCCCCCCCCCCCTCAAACTTTCGATTTGCACCCCCCCCCCCCCTCAACATTTCAATTTATTTTTCCAACCCATTTTGGCGCCCCCTAAGGTCGGTGCCCGGGGACATTATGTCCCCTTCGCCCCCACCCCCCTCGCTACGCTACTGCAGTGTCACTTATCGTCACAAAAAAACAGACCCCACATTCAAACATGTTTTTTATCATATAAAAACACCGAAAACAACGATTTCGGACTATCCCTTCATATGCTGACGTCACAGGTGACTTACTCAACCCTACTTCACCTGCCCAGTGTCCCACCAAGTCTCAGACAACATGTTTTTATCGTTTAAAAAACCCATTCCAGCCGAGCATGTCTCTGACCACACTATCCCTTCATATGCTTAGGACAAACAAACAGGTGCACTCTACTTCACCTGCCCTGTGCCCCGCGAGGTGCTGATAGTGAACCTTGTCATTCACATGTAGGCCTTAGGAAAAATAATTGAAAACGTTGTATAAAGAAAATATATTATTTAACTAATACTAAAGTCATAGTTCTAAACTTTTATATAAATTGTGGTTAATCTACCCATGAATATATCTAAAAATTAATTAACGGCTTTAAATTAGTTTGTAATTAACAGTGTGTTTAAGAAGGAACAATATTTACCACTCAAAATACCATTTAACAAATCAGAAAAACAAACAAACAAAAAATGAGTTATCAAACATCACTATTCAGTCAAAGTTAAGCTATTGTTCTAAAACTTTAAAACAAATGTGGTTAATCTACGTATGAATAAATCAATAAATTAATTAACGTCTTTAAATAAATGTGTCTGTCTGCAATAAAAAATTATTCTCTACCTACATACTATTTTACAGCCCCCCATATAAAGCAGTTTCCTTACAGTAAGAAATCAGACAAACAAATAAATATTCAAACATGTAAACAAAGTTGAGTTTTAGTAGTATTAGATAGATTTATTTCTTTTTTTTTTACATCTTATTATTTATATAAACAAATGGCGACGAGAATGTAGACTATATAATTGTTTAAAGAGTACGTATTTCATTTTTCAGGCTATTGTGTTGAACAGAGATTAAAAAAAAAATAACTGTTTTTTTTAAATTGAATGGTATATAAACAACTGAAAAATGTATATATATATATATATATATATATATATATTAATTACAATAAAATAATTTCGAATACGAATGTAAATGTTATAGAAAATACACTAACTGTACTACTTAATTTTTTTTTTAAATTAACATGCATTTTCTGTAGATAAACTAGCAATAGCTACATAATTCGTCTTCTGCTAAATATGTTTTAGCACCTATTCGATGCATGAAGCTAATATGCTCTAATCAATTGCATAGTATTTTCTTTACATGCTTAACTTCTGTCTACTGCATGATACGTTAGATCAATATCATCATTGAATGCGGTTAATCGAATGGTTAAATTCTGGGTACCATGCAACACACGAACCTATGATAAAATATTGATTTTCTGTGAAGGACAGCTAGTTGATCATTTTTGTGTTGATCATATTAAAATGTAACCTGCACAGTGAATTTATTTTAATATAGACCCTTCTTTGAAATGGGATCTAAAGGTAAAGAAAGAAACTTAAATAGTACAGCCTGTATTAAATAAAGTGTTTACAGTTTAAAAAAAATTACAGACGCAAAACGATAAACGTTGTTAACCTAAGTAGCTGAAAAAAGTATACAAGTTTTTAATGTTTGAAATCTCTAACTATAAATTGTTATGCAGTGGTCTAATTGACGTTTAAATAAAATATCATTACTGGGTTTTTTTCCCTATCTACAATGATTTCTAAATTGTTTTAATACAGAGATTTCATTGCAATTGATTCCCTTGATCAAGTATACAATCAAATATGGGAAATAATTAACTCTAAATGCATTTGGAACTACTTTTTATGTTATTATCAGTAAATATTATTATACAAATCAAGAGTTTTTCTGACATTTTTCTCCGGTTGGTAACTTAAAATCACCGAGTGGGAGGGGTGCAAGTATCCGCTTTTTAGTATTGTTTTCATCATTGTTATTGTTCTAGAACTTAAAACAAATAGTTAAATGGACCCATTTTTTTTAGGATAAATAAAAAACACAGATGCTAATGTGTACTACCTTGTTTTACCACCGATCTAAAAAAAAAAACATTCGTCAACTGGTCAACCCGGTGAACTCTCCTGACCCCACCTTCACAACTTGACCGTTCAGTGTGACGTCACATGACACTGGACATCGCGTCATGACATCTTTTATTGCCAGCATGTACATCTCTACGTCACCACTCTTGTAGCTTTTCAAACACAGGGACAGGGTGTCCAGATTTTTGCACGCCTGCAAACTGTGGACACACAGGTAGGGTAGGAATAACAGCATTACATCCATTGATGGTACACAGGTAGGGTAGAAATCGTAAACATTACATCAATTTATGATACACAGGTAGGGTAGAAATAACAGCATTACATCCATTGATGATACACAGGTAGGGTAGAAATAACAGCATTACATCAATTTATGATACACAGGTAGGGTAGAAATAACAGCATTACATCAATTTATGATACACAGGTAGGGTAGAAATAACAGCATTACATCCATTGATGATACACAGGTAGGGTAGCAATAACAGCATTACATCAAACAGGTAGGGTAGAAATAACAGCATTACATCCATTGATGATACACAGGTAGGGTAGAAATAACAGCATTACATCCATTGATGATACACAGGTAGGGTAGAAATCACAACATTACATCCATTGATGACACACAGGTAGGGTAGAAATAACAGCATTACATACATTAATGATACACAGGTAGGGTAGAAATACCAGCACTACATCCATTTATGATACACAGGTAGGGTAGAAATAACAGCATTACATCATTTTATGATACACAGGTAGGGTAGAAATATCAACATTACATCCATTGATGACACGCAGGTAGTTTAGAAATAACAGCATTACATCCATTGATGATACACAGGTAGGGTAGAAATAACAGCACTACATCCATTGATGATACACAGGTAGGGTAGAAATAACAGCATTACATCCATTGATGATACACAGGTAGGGTAGAAATAACAGCATTACATCCATTGATGATACACAGGTAGGGTAGAAATAACAACATTACATCCATTAATGATACACAGGTAGGGTAGAAATAACAGCATTACATCCATTAATGATACACAGGTAGGGTAGAAATACCAGCATTACATCCATTTATGATACACAGGTAGGGTAGAATTAACAGCATTACATCACACAGGTAGGGTAGAAATAACAGCATTACATCCATTGATGATACACAGGTAGGGTAGAAATAACAGCATTACATCCATTGATGATACACAGGTAGGGTAGAAATAACAGCATTACATCCATTGATGATACACAGGTAGGGTAGAAATAACAGCATTACATCCATTGATGACACACATCATAAAGGCACACCGTACTTAACAGTTGAGCATTGTGCTGACTACACCATATGCCGGGCTCAAGATACATACAAACTGTAGTTCATCGACCCTATAGTTCGTTAGGTCTAAAAGGGGGGCTTTACAACTTTATCTGTGAGTTGCAACATACCAACTCTCCCGCCACTTATCAGTGATAAGAAATAAAGAAATATAAAATTGGTTTCATTGATTTAGAAAACATCAAATATACAAAAAGACATACAATGACTAGAATGTAAGCATATCATCTTGCTACAGCTTAGGCGATGTGTTTAACTCCTTACAAACAGGGCCGGCGCTACCTATAAGGCGAACTAGGCGGTCGCCTTGGGCGCTGGCCGTAAGGGGGCGCTAAAATGGGTTGGAAAAACAAATTGAAAGTTTGAAGGGGGGGGGGGGGGGTTGCAAATCGAAAGTTTGTCCCCGGGGACACAAAAAAATGCGTGGGGGGGGTGCGCTTTTAATAAGTTTTGTCTCCGGCACTACTTACAACTCAAACAACTAATGTGGTTTAGCCAAAAAAATCTATTTTAAAAGCCTCAAAACACAGAAGAGCAAAGCTCACCTACCTTTTGAACACAAGCTCAAAGCGTTCCGTGTCAGGGCGGACACCCGTCTGTAGATGAAGGTGGTGTATGGTATTCTGTAAACACAGACCAATTATATGATTATAATCATGAGTTTTTGTATTCAAGATTCATAAGCGTCAACTAGCCTACCTGAAAGTTCTGTATCTACTTTTTGCATACTACCGGGTCCCTCTCATCCCTCTCACCTGAAAGTTCTGTGCCACATGTTGAAAGAACTTCTCTAAGTTCTCTTTAGCGATGGCGGCACCAGCTTTCCACTTGACTTGATAGAGCGGCATGGATGGTGTGAGTATCAATGTTGGGTCTTGGGAGTACGACTCCTGCATGGAATAAGGTTCAAATTAATTTGCAATTCTATATAGAATTATGTCTGATCCTCTTGGAAATAATACATTGTTACTCAGTGTAATAAATAAATAAAATAATAAATTCAACGTGAGCAGTTTGTTGAGCTACTGCAGTAAAAGCGGATGTGTGCAGAGGCGTAGCTAGGGGGGCGGGGGGGGGGGGGGGACATATGTGTTGGGTTGGAAAAACAAATTGAAAAGTTTGAGGGGGTGTTTGTAAATCAAAAGTTAGGGGGAGGGGGTGCAAATCGAACGTTTGTCCCCGGCCGCCGGGAAGGGTCGCTACGCCTCTGTATGTGTGTTAAAACTGTTAGCAGACAGACACAACTTTTAGGTTAATATCAAAAGTAAACTGATGTTAATATTTCCTGTCTTTCTTTTTTTTTTAGTGTTTATTAAAAATTGTTATACTGAAGGTTTGTAAAATCTTGTTATACTGAAGGATTTTATGCATTTTTAAAACATCAGCTCACAAATTTGTGCTTGATGTGAAAAATCGCTTTTAGCTCAGGACATGCCGCTGTAAGCTTCTCCCATGCTAGAGCGGTAATTTGACTTTCTAACTCTGGGATTTCATCAGCTCGAACTGTGATCAACTTGAGGCTGGTTGTTGTATTAGCCAGGCTGAGTAGCAGGTCATCTTCCAGATAACCATAGCTGAGGTCAAGGTCTGAAAGTCACAAGGCCTCTCGTTATGTGGCATATGGTAAACACACGAGAAGAACATACGAAACTAAATATTACGGTTATATAGAGTCAGTCTTTTGAGAACTAGGCGCTGTGTTGTCAAGGTCTTGTTAGAGTTAGGTGGTCAAGGTCTTGCAAGATATAGATGGTCAAGATCGAATCAGAGCTTAGTGGTTAAAATCTGTTCAGAGTTAAGATGTGTATTGTTAAGGTCTTGTTAGAGTTGCGTTGTAAGAGTCTGGTCTGAGTTAGTGAGTCAAGATCTTATCAGCATTGGGTGGTATTGTTAGAGTTGGATGGTCAAGGTACTTTTAAAACGGAATGAACTGCTACATTGAGAAGTGTTTGTCTACTCTCCAGACTAAATAGCGATTAATGAACACGAGATATAATCGGAGTTTACTTCCATGTACATTTATAAGCACCATCATAAGCCATCACACTTATTCATAGGAGAATAAAAGATTGATTATTCATTACACTAATAATAATAGTTATTTACTTAAAATGTGCAAGACTAGAAAAAAATATTAATTCATGTAACTATAAAAATGACGTAATTCATCCCACCTGATAACTTGCTGAAACCAGAGATGGCGTTTCGAAATTGCGGAAGATAGCTCATGCTATTATGGAAACTACTTTTCAAGCTAACGAGCCTGGCGATAGCAAGGGTATGTAGCGTGGTGCCGCAGTATTTGCCAGCTGCTATCAGCAATTTCATGCCTTGGGATATATAAATAAAGTTTCTACTTATTGTTTATTTATGTTAGACGATACATGAGCATGTTTTTGTTTTGATTATCTGATACATTAGCATGTATTTGTTTTGATTATCTGAAACATTAGCATGTATTTGTTTAGATTATCTGATACATTAGCATGTATTTGTTTTGATTATCTGATACATTAGCATGTATTTGTTTTTTGATTATCTGAAACATTAGCATGTTTTTGTTTTGATTATCTGATACATTAGCATGTATTTGTTTTGATTATCTGAAACATTAGCATGTTTTTGTTTTGATTATCTGATACATTAGCATGTATTTGTTTTGATTATCTGAAACATTAGCATGTATTTGTTTTGATTATCTGATACATTAGCAGTATAAAAATTTCACAAGTAATTGACCCCACTGAGCCACAATCGGGTCAACTTAAAGACAAACCTTGTTACATTTATGCAGTGGCGTAGCGAGGTCGGGTGTCACCCGGTGCGGCACTTAATGGTGTCACCCCCCCCCCCTCATATTTTCGATTTGCACCCCCCCCCCCCCCTCAAACTTTCAATTTGCACCCCCCCCCCCTCAAGTTTTTCTCTATATTTTGCTATTTTTTGCATTGGTGTCACCCCCCTAAATGGTGTCACCCGGTGCGGTCCGCACCACACGCCCCCCCCCCCTCGCTACGCCTCTGCATTTATGTAATTGAACTGTCTTGTAGACACCCAACGTCTCGCCGTCTATCCCGCCCCTCGTGTTGTTTCTATTGACACATCTCTCTAAGCCCAACATAAACGGTCTATAAATTCCTGTAAGCCCACCACTCAAGGCCCGATGTTAGACTGTCCTAACTAACCTTGCCTCACGGTAAGAATTTCCTTGAAACAGAACCTCACAGACTTTTCGCTATTGCTAAGGTCAAGGACACGAAGCTGTCGCTGGACTTTCAAGAATCTCTTCAGGAGTTTAGCGACCTCAGACAACGGCGTTGACCTTTCCCCACCGCAATACGTTTCCAAACTGCTCAGATTTTTCAGTCTGAAGGTCAACAGCTGGTGATTCTCTGAATTCAAAAGGCTGGCTAAAAACAGATACATCTTCTCTGAACAAGATGGGTGGTATTCCAATACTATTCAAAGCAAGAAAATTTACATGTGATTTACTCATGAAACTACACTAGTAATTTACTCATGAATGTACACAAGTAATTTACACATGAAATTAGATATGTAATTTACTCATGAAATTACAAACGTAATTTACTCATGAAATTACACAATTAATTTACGCATTAAAGTACATGTGTAATTTACGCATGAAATTACACATGTAATATACTCTTAATATACATACACATACATTTTTACTATACTCTGTGTGACTTACCCAATTGAAGATTTTCAAGTTTTTTACATTCTACCTTAATATGACGTAATGTTTTGCCGGTGATGTCAACAAACCGGATGGCCTTTTCGTCGCTTTTACAGTCAAAAACAAAATCTCCGGACTGCCACAGGGACGGCACTGAGAGTGGGCGGAGCCAGGACTTGCAGGTGAGGGCGGCGTGGTACTTGTCGCTGTTGCTAAGGTAACTGAAGACTTGCAGCAGAATCTCGTTCGGCAGCTGGCTCCAGTCAGGCTGAAATTGTATTAAACAAGTTGCCTGGTAGACACCAGAGGCGTAGCGACCTTGTAAATCAAGTGATATTTTAGAACATCTTGTGGGTATAACAGACTCCCAACCTTTACTCTCCCTTTCATTGCACCTCTATATATTACTTCAACAACACCAATGAAATCTTGCTTGTGCTTGAAACTACCAATAAATTTGGTGTGATCAGGTGTTCCCCAATCAACCTTAATATGTTGACCGTTGAAAAAAAAGATTGTGGAAGTTATGAGGAATATATCAAAGTACTGTGTGTAGATGGCCACTTTATCCACTTCCACTAAGCATATTTCTGCTATGTTAGCCAAGTCATCTGCAGTTTTTTGAGAGAATGTCATATAGTTGTAAACAGCTAGCATCTGTGTGTCTCACAAATCTCTATACCTGAACCACATCTTTAGTTTTACGTATGACTTTGTCAACTTCTTCTTTTTAGATGATAATGTTGTAAGCAAGTAACTCATCTTAGAGGACTTTAAACATCCAATAATATAACCTTGCCGAGACTGCACAGTTTAGGTCTTCAGACTGAACTTAGGTTGTCATAGGACACTATAGGACGTGAGTATAGGACACTATAGGACGTGAGTATAGGACACTATGGGACGTGTCTTGGTAAGACCTTAGTTTAGCGTCTTAAATTCAAACGAAACTAGTTATATGCGGTAGAGGTAACTAATGAATATTTCTTTCATTTGGCCATATGTATGACATATTTTACATAATATAACAGATAATTGATTAATAAATCACAATCCATGACCAAACCAGTCAAAAACATCCTGGAATAAGCTTTAAACTACCATGTTCGAGACAACAATAAGTAAATACAAGCAGCGGCCATGTTTAAAAACAATAATAGAGTAGTTTCCCTTGAAAAATTGTCTATTCGCATATCTGTTGTGTTGATTTTATGGTTTAACATGAATTTTTATTTTTATAATATATGCCTGTATTGTAATTTTTTTTTTTTAAATATGGTTGAAATGAATGACTAATAGACATTTTCAGACTTAATAGTTTGCATCCAAGACCACAACAATTGAGTGGAGGTCGAACTTTTGAACACTTTTTTTTATGCAGTAATCAAATCAACATTAGATCGCAAATAAATGATGTCGATCTTACTGGGTTAATATAGTTATGACAGCGGGCACTATTACAGAACAAATATAGTGATGAACCTATTGTTTCATATAGAAATTGTGATTTGTGGTGGGGAGAGGTTGGGTAGAATTCATGCGATGTGATTTTGAGACGGGTCAAGAAATGTAATTAGCATGCTGAGTCGCATTTCTTGAAACCAACCGTTTTATCCCCCACTTAGCACATGGTCACCGAGTTAACGCTCGCGCGTGACGCATGTACCGGTACAGCCGACTGTTTGGCTAATTATATGGGAAAAAACAAGCACTGCCGTTTTGACACTTATGCGACGTTTAATTTGATTACTTATGTTGGTGTTCAATTAAACAGCCCCTCACACATCTATCCCTCGTCCATTTAAACATACGTGGTTATTTCTGCAAGCTTGCTGTCTTGAGACTTTCGGCCCTTTAAAAATCTTTTAAGCTCTCACCGTATAGAACTAGACTACCCATATTAAGCTCCAAAAGAAGCTTGGTGAAAACAGGATGGCCGTCCGATTTTGGAGCTGCTCTGCGCTTTATTAAAGCACAATGGACGATAAGAAGACACTTATTTTAAGTAAATTATTGATCTAAATCTTGATACATTAGAGGTGATATTCGAAAATAAGAGCTGTGTATTAGGCCAGACAGTCAACATGATATTTAAATTTAAGTCCAAAAAACTGTCCTCAAAAGAAGTAACATTACTAAATTTTTGGGCAATTTCGCGCTATTGAATTAACGTACGTCATCTCACAGAGTGCGATAGCCTACTGGTGCTCTAACGCGGCCCCATGCTGATGGCCGTATTCCTAACGCACCGGATTATGACTTGTCGTGACATTGATAACGAAATATGATGGAGGTTGGGGTTTAATTAACGTAAAGAGAAGTAAAAAAAAAACTGTCATAATTTAAGATAGAATCACTAAAGGGAAAAAAACAACCTAAAATGAAAATAGCGAACACTCAAACAATAATTTTAAAAACTCAAACTGTAAGCCTATAGATCAAGTAATGAACAAATAAACATTATATCTAGCACAAAAGTGATTTTATACATAGATACAAGTTGCATCTCACAATAGTTCTAGAATTGATGGTGTTGTTTGTTAGTAATTTCAGTTTTTAAATGGCAGAATTTTAAACAAAATGCTTTGTAGGCTTATACAAATACAAGACAATCATATTTAAAATCCATTTCCATACGAATAGAAATGGAAGGGAAGCTACTCTAAATATTTTACTATAAGTTACTATCTCGAACAGGGTTGATAAAAATTAATTTCAGGATATTTAAATTGATTTAACCATCAATGATGATCTATTATTAATTATCTATAATATTTTATTAAAATATACAAAAATAAACTCGAATTTAAAGCCAGATTCATTATTTCTAAATAATTAACTCTCTCCCACATTACTTATGTTGTTTTAGCCGAATTCACGACGCTACACTAAAGTTTTACCCGTGGCTATACCTGTGTAGTCCGATCCATGACAAAATCTACAGCTGCCTGTTTGAGACTGCTTAAATATAATGCCATGGTAAACTAGAGGGTTGGTGCAGTTTTTTTAATCTGGTTTAGTTGAAGATGAATTTTTATAAATATTTACAGTCGCGCCATTTTGTTTACATGATGTTGAAATTGTTGCGCTACACAATTTTTGATGACGTTTATTGAATGATTTCAATGAAAGCACTTTGACATCTTAAACTTCAATGAACTCGAGCGAAAAAAGTCTCAAATGTATACCAGAGGCCCATTAAATATTTTTAAAATCATGCGCGGCTTAGTTATAATTAAAATGGTTTTAAAATCATGTCTGTTTATTTTCGGACTTTACTAAAGATTGTATGTATTTTTTAAAATATTTTATGTAACTAAATAAAAAGTAAAAGAAAATTAAAGACAATTTGGTTTTCACGTGTAATGGCGACATAAACAATGGCATCCTGCTATTCGATAGGCTAGCATACATTTTATTGTGCAAATTGAAAGCGAAAAAAGGAGACCTGTGTCATTAGGTTTAAATTAGCATCGTTAATTAGTAACTATATCTATATCTGCAAAGTTTAGTAAATAAAAAAAAATGATTTGGGACCAATCAATATATGTCTTTTGAAAGTGAAACATCCGGTTATAACTTAGGCTTGATGAAAATAATTAGAAATTACTTTCAAGTTCTCTTGATTTACAACTGTTATAACATTGATTCTAAAAACTTTAACTTTCCGAATAATTTATAGGCTTAAGTTTTTATGTTTTATTATTTTTATGATCGCTTTGATTGTGAAATCTTAAAAAAAAGCTTGTTTTTATTACATGTCAACAATATGATGGAAGGTTTCTCGACAACTTAGTCCCCCGATTTAAATTCTCTAATGATTTTGGAGGTAATTAGATTAGGATAAATACATCTGTCTATTGTATTACATTTTTACGAAATTTTTAGGTGTTTGATAATGATTCCTGCATTTATTTCCTTCACAATATAATTAATCTCTTTAATCTGTTTATTTCTTTGGGTCGGAGTTGATAAGCGATATTTTGACCACGACTACCAGAACGATTGCATTCAATCAGTGGGTTTGAATAAGATTAATTAATTAATTTTTATAGATTAAAATAATATTTCCTTCTGAAGTAATGATGTTTATCGCGCTATCATTACTTTTAAAACAAAAACGAATTACTTTGCGTTTGTGTGACTATATTTAGTCATGCAGTTCTAGTCTAGTAGAAATCTTTAATTATTGAGTTTTGTAACCAATACTAGTGTTACCTGCCAACGTTCAGTTAGCAGGATCTAATTTGGTTGCACGTGATGTGGGTCCGCAAGTTTTTATATTCTGTTTTCCCTTAATTATTACCGTTTTTTTTCCATTTCATGTGACCTCTGGGAGATCTATGTAGGGGAATTTTGACTTGCACAAAGGCAGTATAACCTAATGTGTCGTGAGATCAAGACTTGCACGACGGCAGTATAACCTAATGTGTCGTGAGATCAAGACTTGCACGACGGCAGTATAACCTAATGTGTCGTGAGATCAAGACTTGCAAGACGGCAGTATAACCTAATGTGTAGTGAGATCAAGACTTGCACGACGGCAATATAACCTAATGTGTCGTGAGATCAAAACGTTCAAGACGGCAATAAAACCTAATGTGTCGTGAGATCAAGACTTGTAAGTTGGCAATATAACCTAATGTGTCGTGAGATCAAAACAGCAATATAATCTAATGTGTCTTGAGATCAAGACTTGTAAGACGGCAATATAACCTAATGTGTCGTGAGATCAAAACGTTCAAGACGGCAATAAAACCTAATGTGTCGTGAGATCAAGACTTGTAAGACGGCAATATAACCTAATGTGTCGTGAGATCAAAACTTGCAAGACGGCAATATAACCTAATGTGTCGTGAGATCAAGACTTGCACGACGGCAGTATAACCTAATGTGTCGTGAGATCAAGACGTTATCTACATCATAAATATCTACTTTCTAACAATTATTTACCTGTACCTCGACCTTTGTAATAATAACACGTGATGACTTGGCTGCGTTCAACACAGTTCATGAGTTATACACACAATAGTGTGTTGTCTCTCTGGGTCAGGCCCTGAATACACCAAACCTCAGTGTGTGATCATTACATCCTGATGGTCAGGACTGAGCCGTATTACAAAATAAAAAAAAAAGATTTAATAACTAACTTTTATATAATCGTGCATTAAAAGAATAAAAACAAATGGTTTTCTTTAAATGAAGTAATCCACTATTTAAAAAAAATTCATAAAAAACGTTTTAATAACAAGCTTTTATGTAATGATGCACTAAAAAGTAGAAAATAAATTATAGACTACTATTTAAATAACTATAAAGAAAAGCGTGGGTCACTTTAGTATTTATTGGATACCTTTACTAATGTTAAGGAAGACACCCACGCTTTTCTTTATAGTTATTTAAATAGTAGTCTATAATTTATTTTCTACTTTTTAGTGCATCATTACATAAAAGCTTGTTATTAAAACGTTTTTTATGAATTTTTTTTTCAGTACTTTACATGTTTTATTTACAATAGAGTTACATGACTAAAAACCATTGCGCGCCTACTAAACATCACGTTCAGTAGGCGCGCAATGGTTTTTGAACGCAGCCATTACGTGATGGCGCAGCTATTGAAGGTGATGACGCGTGTG